GGCCGTAAAAGAAATACACAGAGGCTGTCCGTGCCCTTGAAATCAGTATGCACCGCTGGCTTTTAGACACACAAAATGATGCTGAGCTTAGCTAACAGCGGCCCAGTATCACACCTGAACTGAAGGAAAGTTCTGTATTGTCGGAGATACAATTATTGCTCGTCTCTACCTAAAAAAGGTAGAGTATTTAATTACCTACCTAATAAAGGTAGGTAGTCTCTACCTTAAAAAAGGTAGAGTAAAGGTAGAGTAAAAAAATATTCAAAACTACACAAGATTATGTTTAAAATGAACAACATGTTTTAAAAGAGCAGTAAAATCTTACTATAGTATCATGAATGTTGCTGTTTTAGATCAAACTCTCACTCACACACACACAAAAAAAAAATTATTCTGGTTCAGCTATAACAGGTACCTTCCATTTATTTTCTCCATAGAGATCTCAAAAGACTCAACCAAGCCAGTCTTAGTCAAATACTACAAAAATCAAATAGGAAAAATGACGGAACAATATAAAAATATTAATTTATTCAGGCATTATTAAATTAAAATACTCAAATCTATTCCTGTGTTGGTTAAGCTGAATTTTCAGCAGCCATACTCTAGTCTTCAGTGTCACATGATCCTTCAGAAACCATGCTAATACGGTGATTTGGTTCACAAGAAACATTTATATCAATGTAGAAAAAAAAGTTGCTGCATTGCATTATTGCTTTTGTGGAAAGTGATATTTTCCCCCAGGATAATTTGATGAATATGAACATTTGGTCAATAGAAATGATACATTTTGCAATAAACAAATGCAGTGGTATACACATACACTCAAATTCATGGGGCTTTCATTCCAACTAAGGCAAGTGTGCGCTTGTGTGAATGTAAAAGATGGCGAAACGGACAGAAGTGATGCATATGGCAGCAACTTATTCCCACCCCTTTTTACCCCAGCTAATCTCTTTTATTCTGTCTTTACCACATAAATGTTTACACAAGCTGAGGAGAGCTTAGTCAACTGTGCCTTAATCACAGTGTGTGTATGTGTGTGTGAAGGAGTGACCCTGTGCGCTCACAAACAAGGGTGGAGGCACCTGTCTTTGTACATCTTTAAGCCCGTTTAAGCAGGAGGCTCATTCAGAATATCAATATGATTGAGGGGGAAAAGGAAAAGGTTGAGTGAAAAGCGTGTCAATTAAGGGTTTAATTTGGACTGAGTGAAGGGTGGAAACATCTCTGTGACAGTGTGAAGGTCTGTGGGTGTGTGTGCGCATCAAGATACAAGAGCACACAGGGCACAAAAAAAAAAATATCGCTCAAAGAGGGCGGAGAGATCGATTGCAGCATGCAGGTTTTCTCTGCGGTGTTAACTGGATTCCCAGGTCATTAGATAAAGTACACAGGGTGACGTTGTTCAACCCTTAAGACTAGAGGAGAACCATATTAATGAGGTTGTTTTGCCAGAAGCGAGGCAATTTCCTCACCTCGCGGTGGAAGAGGGTCGCTGAGAGAGACGCTCACGTGACGCTGCAAGAAACAGAAGCTCTCAAACACAAGATAGCAAAAATACGGCTAAAGCAGCGCGTGAGACGACCGCAAAAACGGTCCTCCTGAGAGCCATGATAGTTACGCATGTAATGAATTCACTTTAATACATAGAACCACTCAGTAAATCCGCTAATGCTGGAACCTTTCCGATATCCTCATATACCACTATGGCCCGCTATCCCTATCTGCCCTGTTCAATACAAGTGAATGAATCAACCCAGTGTTAAAAGCTAAGAAAGGGAGAGAATGCATTAGAAGGGACATCTAAGAGGGGGGTGAGGGGGTCAGGGCAATTGACCTAAAGGCTTTTCTAACATTTCAGTGGACAGATGCCCGCATACCAATTAAGAGGAGAGGGGTGACAGCAGGTGTTCAGAGGTGAGTATCTGAACTGTAGCTGCACATCTATTACAGTTGTTTCAATTGAACTGAACATTGAACACTCCACCAGTTCCACCATATTCCACCAGTACTAAACAAAACCAGTGCATTTACAAACATTTAGGAGCATTTAGAACTAAATCAACTTAATTTTAAATTTAAATTTAATAAACACTAGTAAATACTACAAACACGTCCAGTAGTGTACTTAAGTTACAATAACGCTCACACACACACAGTAAATGTTGAAACAGTGGGTGCCTTTTTTATTACTAGCTTTTGTGTTTCGCCATTTTACACTAGCGAGACAAGTGCGTATGTGACAAAAAACTTCAGAGAAACGGCTATAAACCATTATGGTCTGTGGGTAGTCTGCATCGATGCAGAATGATCCACGTCAGCAATGCGATGTATCGTATAAACAATTATACAATGGAGTCGCCACTTTGGAGGGTTCAATTTTATATATACATTTTTCAATTGCAGTCTTTTAAAAAGGCATCTGAAATAATAAACCAAATTTGTCAAAAATAAAGATTTTCTATACATATTTATGATGAAATATCTGAAACGCTTCCAATACTCATGTTCTACCAAAAACAGACAATACCAGCTGCATTTTCCCACTCTCTCATGGGTTGCGTTTGAAATTGCATACTCTCTTGAGTAGGTACTTGTATTGAATAATTAATTACTTCATTTTTGCTAAAAAAGTACATTCTATATAGTGTCACTGTGTGTAGTAAGATGTACAGACATACTATAGACCATTTTGCAAGATGTAAATAACACTGGTCCAGAAGCACTTGCTGTTTCAGTTTTTTAACACTACATAAAAGCTGGGATAAAATACAACCAACAGAACATATAAAACTGAATCAAAAATTTAAACAAATATCTTTAAGATGTTTTCTTTGTGTTAAATAAAGAAAACAGTTACCAGTGTTGTTTAAATCTTGCAAAATGGTCTATATACACCTACCAGCGTCAGTTGTCGCTTCACTGCCACTCACAAATCATCTACTGTGACCTCATGGGATAGTAAAGTGTCCAAATTATGCACACTTCAGAATGTCGCCGGAAATAGTAGGTTATTCGCGTACTTCATTTTTGGGTGAACTACCGTAACTCTTTAAGGGGATTTCCAATGATAGTACTAGTCAATGCATTTGAAAGTTGTGTCTTATTGTTTACAACCATTTTTCAGTCCCGGCTCCTTTTCAATATAAAAGTCTTTGCTACCGACTCACTCATAGAGACAGTTTTGCTGCCATCTAATGGTGTAATAATGTAAATATTCAAATAAACACTATTAGCCATAATAAAATTATAATAACTTTGTACAATAGCCATTAAACAAGCAAATACTTAAGTCAGAAGTACGAAAGCAGAGCTAGTTATAGTTCAGTAAAATAAAAATATATAAAATATTTTTGAAACTTAACTTTGCTCTTGAAACAAGTAACAAATTACCAAAAAACACAAGATTGCACGTTTGATATACTCAAAATGAATTTGATATACTCAAAACGCTGTCGTATATTTGAAGTCTAAATTGCCCCCCAAAAAATTAAAACTAAATTTCGTGACACATTATCTATCCATCTATCTATTCATAATATTAATTAAGACATCACAAACTAGTTGACCTCACTAATCGACTCCTCAATATGACTAGTTTATAATCACAACCCAATTACATGACAAACCAGTATCCAATCAACTTCACAGGCAAAAACATGGATGAGAATCGACTAATTAGATGGATTAAGGTGGTAAAAGCTAGAAAGGAGGGCCAGTGAAGTCTTGTGACAGAGCCATCAGACAAAGACCCCTAGATCTGCACTTAATCAAGGTGAAGATAATCAAGAAACATACTATATGTTATTCTTGGCAAGAGCAAGATTCTGCTGCCCTCAGCACTCTTCCGAGCAATCCGATTAAAGGCTGCTTGGATGCCCAAGCTCTGGCACACTCTCCCCTACCTACCCTCCCTTCCTTCCTCTGCACATCATTCTAACTCATCCAGCCAGCCCTGAACCCCCCACTTCAGCTCCTGCGGCTGTCATAAGCCATCCTGCCCCGTGTCCACCCCCTTCCCTCAGCACCTTAGCTGTTCAGTACCATTAACAAAGCCTCATGGGTCTTCCTCCACACACTCTACAAGGGGGGGTGGCGGGCAAAGCCGAAGGACCTCTTGGCTAATTGTGTCCTGCTGTGGGGAAATAGCCATTAGAAAAGCCATAATGTGCTTATTTACTTGTGACATAACGTTATCTCAACATAGTGACCATCAAATGAGGCACCCATAGAAGGAAACAAAAAAAAACGTACTTGTCTGCGGTTGCTGGGGGAAATAAATCATGGAAATATTGGCCTAATAAAGCAGACTGAATCTAAGGTAGTTTTTCACTCTGATCAATGTGTCCTTTGAAGATTCAATCTTTTTAAGAAGCTGATTAATAATCTATATAAAAAGCGTCAGCAAAGAGTGGATCACGTAGCGAGAACTACGATCTGGAAAAGGAGTTTCTCTTTCCCCTTCTCTCGCTTTTTTTTTTAATTGATCAATTAACGGCATGTAAAACCAAGCTGGCGCTACAACGTAAACGTGTGAGCTAGATGGGGCTTTGTAGAGAATATCTGGTGCTCCGCTTCACACAAGCTAATTAAACTTGTAAATCTCAGTGTGTTGCAGGCTGATTTTCCTATAGAGTAAAAATACCGCCATTAAAAGTAGGAAAAAAGCCAACTGTCAGCACAATTCATTCCAAAAAACAAAAACCTCATAAGCCTTGTTAACCAAGTGTACAGGAAAATCTCAACGTATGAAACCTAATTTTCAACAATGTAGCATAATTGCTCCCGGACATCAACAGCAAGCGGGCATCTCATTGCAAAACCATATAGAAATTAATCAAAGCATCTACCAACATCAAACGCTCATGTTTGATATTGTTTCTGACGTATAGAAAGAGATACCAAAGGAAACACAATGGCAACACAGTCACATAAGGGCGAGTGGAGAGTGAGCCTTGATCTGGACAGATGAGGGCGAAGGAAAAGCCGAGTCAACTCACCAGCTTGAAGTCCTGAATGCTACAGATGAAGTAGGGCGTGTTCGGCCGTCGGCTCTCTATGTACACACAATCTGTGAGGATGACAAAAAAAAAAAAAAAAGAGTGTTAACAACATCATCTAGACTATCAGATAAGATCTCTATTTTAATTTCTCAAACCTGCACAGAATCTGTTTCCCTTTGTAAAAGACAACTGGAATGCGAGTAATAGGATTAAAGAGCTTTTGGATGCAGGACTGTCTGCCCTTTCCAGAACAAACATCAAGGGGAGTCTGAGAAAGAAGGTCAGTATTGTTCCAACAATTATGTGATGGCAGGGGTTTTTGTAGAGTAGAAAACACAATAACCCAACACAAGATGAGACGCAAAACGTATCCTTAATTAAGCAAAAATTATAACTTTTTCTCCACTGTAGTGAAGCTGAGCAGAGGGCCTCTATGTTTAAATTAAATGTGACTGGCGGTATGGCCAGGTCATGAACCTTCGTCTCCTGAACAAAAACATTCACACTGCACAGCCCCAACAAGAAAAAGCAGCTTTAGCCAAGGAGACACACATAAACGCACACATACTTCCTTCCTCTGCGGTCAATCTGCCAAACATTTGTAGAGTGCGGGGGATGAAAAGATCACCCTCTTGTTCCACCCGCTTCTCCGCAGAGAGACAATCTGAGGCGCTCTTGAAATGGAAAATACTTCAGTGCTGTGCTGCACCGACATCAAAATTACTGTGAGTTGTTTGGGGGGGGGGGCTGGGAAACGATGTCTGTTTAAAAGAAAGGGAGTGTTCGAGCTGTTTGCTAGATAAGAATCTTATTTACACAGAAGAATGAGCCTCCAGTTTGAAGACAGGCATTCTTTGATAGTTCAAATGTGTTGAAAACACAAAGAGGGCTGTGCTCGGATGCTTGGATCACCCTCTGTCAGACTGTGAGGTGCCAGTCGCTGCTCCATTCAAAACATTCATTACATTACACATTACTACTTCACAATACAAATCCATTTTACACTGGCATCCAAGCCAGTATTTATCTTACCTACACCTGCACCGTTCAGCTTGAGATGAGGTGATGGGGTTGCTGTGGTTTAAAGTCAACATGAAATCAAAACTGACATTCTTTACTTTAACTCTTAAAAAAAGGGTAAGACCATAAAGAGACATCAGATTATTATTTAGTACCATTTTCTATCTCTATTTTCTTATTAGGACACAAATTCAACTTAACAATTCTTATTTCTTTTAATGTATCGCTCACGATACATCACCCCTTATGGTGTAAATTCATTGAAATGACATTTTTTTAAACATTTTTTAATTTAACTTAAAGTAAATATTTAACAAAATTTTTCAAATAATACGTAATACCATTTATGAATACACTATTACCCAACTATATAATTTAATACGCACGTTTCTAGGGCTTATAAATAATCAACAACCAAAACTTTGCTAAAAAACATGTTGTACACAATCTACTTAATGCCTTTTATTGACAGTACATACTTTGTTTTATCAAGTAAAGACTTTTCTACAGTGAAATCTTTAATGTTTTTTTTAAGTAAATGTAAGATGAACATTTAGACTGAAGCAACTTGGGTTTACAAGCTAATGAATGCATTATTGCTTTAAATGTTCACTTTTTTTATATTAAAAGATTTTTTCATGTTAATGTAAATGACAAATATGACAAGTCTATGGGGTAACATTTATTTGTCCATCTCTCACTTATCATTGAATAGCATATGAGCCATAAAAGCCTGATGTAAGAAATATGATACTTCAGAATGCGCATGAGCTAATTACGAGCTACAGGCAAAACAAGTGAAAGAAGTCAATTTTGTTCGAATCTCAGATTTTCACAAAATTGAGTTCATTAAAACCTCTTCTATCGATCCCAATGTTCCAAATACCAATTCAACATCTAAAAGTATCTTTATTTGTACTTTTTTTGTTCATCTTTATTCATGCTGTTTTTAAATGATGCCCATAAGCAAAACAAAGAATGTATGAACAAAGTCACCTCACCATATCTAAATATCCACAACAAACACCCCTTTCAACATGAAACCAAGAAATGAGACCTACACTTTCACTACCTCTTCCCACAACCGCTCAAGTGTTCGTATCCCCCAGGGTCCTGACATTTATAGTGCCAAATTTGTCCATTTACATTATTCCAATAACAAAATCCTCACGTGATCAATTTAATAACTTGATCCACCTCTGAAATGACTTTAGTTTTCTGGTGAGGTCACCTAGGCCATCCGGTCTATTACATCATGTTAAACAATAGCCGACTAGCTATTTTGCATTCAAGCCCAGCTACATTTGTGTTGGGACCTGTCACTTTTCACAATCCAATCAACTTCTAGGTCTTACAATTATATTTTTTCTCATTGAATATACCGTTTTAGTCAAAAGTCACTGTACAAAACTAAAACGGTTCACATTTTGTCATTTCATATCGACTTTAAATAATTAAGGCCTAATGACTAGGTGATGTCATCAGAGGCGAAGAAAGTTATTAAATAGCTATTCTGATTACATCACCTAGTCACATTCAAGTCTGGCTAAATTCAGGTAGGGACTTCCCACATTTCATGATCCAATCACCTTCTGGTCACAAATGCCATTTCATGCCTACTTAAAAACAATTAAAATTTTTAAAAGCATAAATCAAACATCAGCTCTCAGGCCACAAATCATACGTTACACATTTATATAATGTTAAAATAGAAATAAAAAGTCAATAAATAGCAAGCAGGATGTTAAAAAAGTGGCTTATCAGAAAGCTGTTAAAAATCATTACAGATTCCTGACCCAATGATTCATTCACACTTCCTGGCTCATAAACAAAGGCCATGCCACGTGTTAAAAACACAAGTCGTGCATTAACAAGCAAGTGCGACTCCACCATCTTGTCTCCAGTTTCCTAAAGTCGTGTTGATGAAGGGGTTGAACCTCGCAGTTACCCGGCAGCCATATCTGAACACACAGCCTCTGGAGCGTGGTAAAAACACACTCTCAACACCATAGTCCTCACTAGCAGCCTGTGTGTGTGTGTCATGGCTCTAAGCACAGATCTGGAGATGTTAGAAGTCTTTGTGTCTCTGCAGTGCTAAAACGGCATGGAGATAAATGTTTATCTGAACACTTCAATATTCCAGGGATGAATCCACGTAGCATGGGCTGAGGAGACTAAAAGCTACTACTAACAAAGGGAGAGCGATTCTGTTCTAGCCTTCTTAGTGCACATCTTTTATTTATTTGTTTTGTCTGGTGCTGTTATTGATCTTGTTGCGTTTATCTGTTCAATGCAGCAGGCAGAATAAAGATATTTAATAGTCAGAGCACATTGTAAACCATTCGTTGGGAGTGTGTGTGTGTGAGGGGGGGTGTTAAGAATGCAAGGGGCCATTTTGAGTGGGTTGCATGTGTGACAGGAAAGGCTCGTTATCAGAGCTGGTCCGCACAGGGTTTTCTAAGGCTTTATAGTGTGTTAGTGGGATGGGCTGAGCTCTGTCCATCTGTTTCTACCTGCGCTCATTCTCCCATTTACAAGATAACGTAAGTGAACGTATTTATCAGTACCGTGACTGACAGCCTTCCATGGAGGGGGAGGGGAGGCTGAAGAACAAAAGAGACAAATCTCAATGAAATGAGATGACATGTTTCAGAACATCCCAGGCGGCGTTGAGAGGGATTTACCTTTGAGAATTGCGGCTTATAGTATCTTAACCCGGGCTGGTAGATTCATTTAGAGGAAATGGATTCCCAACATACTGACAAGGCAATAGATGTCTGTGCTGTGAGCTGAAAGGAAAATACTGAGGTATAAAGATCTGATTTAAAATGCTTCCTAGAGTAAATGAAACTGTATAGCCTATTTCAAGGCAATAAAGCCACAATTTGTTTCTACCATTTATGTCTTTTTCAAAATAATTCAACGGATAGTTTACGCAAAAAAATTAAAAGTCTGTCATCATTTACTCACCCTCAAGTTGTTTCAGATCTAAATTAATTTCTTAAAATATTTGAACAATATGGGTATGGTAATCAATTGATGGGCCCCATTGATTTCCATAGTATGGACAAAAAAAAATACTTTGGAAGTCAATGAGGTCCAACTGATTGGTTACTAACATTCTTCAAAATATCTTTTGTGTTCAACAGAAGAAAGAAATTCATTCAAGTTTGGAACAATTACAGGATGAGTAAATTGCACAATTTACATTTTTGGGTGAACCTTTAATTATATTTAATCATTTTTATTACACTATTAAACAAAATGATCAAAATGACAACAATTGTTTGATTATAACAATTATATCAAAAACAACATTTATAATTCTTCAGCTTATTTTTCCATTAATTTCCATAAAAACACACGATTGGGAGTTTCACGTGAGGGCAAGAGATTTCCCCATGCAGATTTTGCATCGTGTTCAGCTTTGTCACACAGATTCGCTGCGTTGGCCAACAGAAAGCTGTTTGGTTTGAAAGTGACTTCTGTCTGAGCTGTGCTTCATACATACACCACTGACATTAAATAATGGACCTTTTAAGGCCCTCAAAATTTAGCTAATGTGGACCCCACATTAACATTATGACAAGTTTAAATCAAAGATGTTATTAATGCCACCATTTGCAGTCTCAATGTAATGAGAAATATGCTGGCCTAATAAAGCAGTTGTCACATCGATATTTAAAAAAAAAAAAAATGAACAGCTAAGAGAATGTGTTTTTAAAACAACCCAAAAGGTACTTTTCCCACCCATCTGTGAAACTCGTTTCCAAACAAAAGGTACTCGGGAGATAAATTGTATTTAATATTTTACAATAATGACACTCCTCCCAAGCCGTGAAGAGTTGCGAGGCTGTAATTTGCTTTGTACTTTGAGAGCGGACCTTTAAGAATCCAATCTGTTCAGCTGCGTTCCAGCCATTTTGTGCTTTTAGAGAAGCCCCTCTCCATCAGAGAGTGAGCAGGCGGAGAAAAAAGGGAAAGAGACCAAAAGAAAAAGAGAGAGAGAGAGAGAGAGAGGAGGGTCTGGGGGAGGGGTGTATAGGAT